GGGTGCCACTGAGTCATGGGAGGGACCGACCCTGAGCCCATGGTTTGGTGGAGACTGGTGTGGACAGACCCTCATTGTTTTTGGCCAGAGAGGGCAGCTAAAGGCCACTATAGTGAGCTGCCAGGTCTCTGGGAACCCCAGACCAGTGTGTGTGTGTGTGTGTGTGTGTGTGTGTGTGTGTGTGTATGTGGGGGGCTGGCTGTGGGTACAGAAAGGTAGGGGAAGGGGAGGGAAAAGAAGGGAGAGCCAGGAAAGCAAAGTCCCTGCCTTTGAAAAACTAAATTCATTTTGGAGAAGCCAGGGTCCCTTATGGCTATGGAGCTCCCAGCTTAGACTCGGGACAGGAGGTGTGTGTTCCTGTGGGGGGCGGGGGGGGAAGAGGCAGGGAGGGGGAATGTCTGGGAGGAAAGGCTGTGGGGAGACAGGAGACACCCCAGGAGCACGCTGAACCCTTCCTGGGCACCCTTTACTCGCCGGGGCTTGAAGTGGGGAGACTGAGATAACTGAGATTATCCCCATTTTATGGTGAACTCGAGCGCAGAGAGGGGTGGGCCCCAGCCAGGCAGCTGTAGGCTAATGCTCACTGCTCCCCCCACCTGCCATCAGCCCCCTCTCTGGAGAGACTCTCCCTGCTCTCCAGCCACCCCCGCCCAACCTGGGAAAGCTCTGTGTGCCGTGTGGGCAGTGTGGTGCCCTGTCACCCCTCTGTCCACACTCCAGCATGAACCGTGGCCGGAGTGGGCGGTTCTCACGGTCGCTGCTGCTGGAAGATTCCGGGGAAGGCGAATTCCCTGGGGACCGCTGTGCTTCAGGACAGTTCCTGGGGGGTTGGGGACCAGGGTAGGGCAGCCGCCAGGTGGACACTGCTGTCCACCCACCTTTCCTGCGCCCAGACACAGCCACCTACGTGTCTTCCAGAGAGCTCCAGCGCCAGTGCAAGTTGCCTCCCGGCCGGTTTTCCCAGCCTGTGGGACACGCCGCTCTGTGGAGTTTGGCTCCAGCCGCTTCCTCCGGAGGCTGGCCCCGCTCAGCCCACCCAGGCCCCGCGTCCTCCGGGGCTACAGCCAGATGCCCCACGGCTCTCGTGCCCCGGAATACCCTCTTTCCCATGACCGCAGTCCAGGCACCACTTCTCCTCCTCCAGGAAGCACTTCTCCTTTTTTAATGCAGGAGTACTACTACTTACTCAGCCATTGATTAAGCTGATTGAATTGAGCATGAACTCCACATTATTATTTTTTTTTTCCAGGAAGCCCTTTCTGAGCCCTGAGCTTTGCACCTCTGAGAAACTGGCCCCGTAGAAATGCTGACCCATAGCAATATCATGGGAGCCGCACCCATAACAGAAAAGCTTTTCTGTTTTTTAAATAGAGCCCAAGAAACATAAGCTAATGCTAATGATTCTAGTCAACTCAAGACATGCCAAATATTATCATTTCAAGGACCACGGAGGTAATCTTAGGGGGTTAAAGCCTGATTAGCGAGCATGGCGCCCCAGGTCTGATCCCCGGTACCATATAGCCTCCCAAGCGTTGCTTGATGTAGTCCTGGTTACTCTCAGAACCACTGGGGAAGTCCAAGACAACAAAACCAAACAAAAGGTCATTTCAATACAAAAATGATTAATGTGATGTATTACTTTTTTTTTTTTGACGATGTGAATTTTACCCATTGGCACATCTTACGAGGCCCGGGCTGTTTTCAGGTGCTGGAGGGCAGGAGGAGCCATGTAGGCTTGGCATCAGAGGGCCTTGCAGTGGCACTTGTTAGCAGGGCGAGCTTGGATGCCCGTCTGCCTCCGAGGCTGCTGCTTCAGAAGGAAAGGAGTTCATAATTTTGACTTATTGTTGTTTTGGTATTTGGACCACACCCTGCGATGCTCAGGGCTTGCCTTTCCCCGGGCCCAGGCCTGGCTCGCTGGGAGCATCGGAGCTGACTTGATGGCAACCTGAATCCTCGCCACCCCTCCTGCCCACCCAGGAGCCTGGGATTCCCTGGTGGCTGGGAGTCGCAGGAGCAAGGGATACGTGGGCAGCGCCAGCAACCAGTGCCCTGACTCCGGGGATGACACGTCACTGCTCTCCTGATCTTTTCTTTCAGAAGCAATAAGAGTAGGTCAGGGATTTAGTTCAGTGGTGGCGCTCTTGCCTTGCACACGAGAGGACCTGGGTTGCAGCCCCTGCATTGAGAAAGAAGGGAATGGGGCTGTTCCTACTAGGAGTGTCTCCTCTCTGCCCCATGAGTGGCCTGGGGGACATGAGCGGCTTCAGCTGTGTGTTGTCCCCCTGCCAAGGAGCCAGTCTTGTCCACCCATCTCCCGCCTTTTCTGAACCCTGGAGCTTTGGCCCCACATTCCCTCCAGTTAAACTTTTGGAAGAGAACATCCTTCTGCCTCCTTGGTAGAATAGGCAAGGCATGATGGGCCCTGGTCCTACTCCTCAGCCAGTACTTGCTGATCTCCTACCCCTGAGGCCCCAGGGCCCCATGTAGGGGGAGGAGGGCATCACTTCCATTTCACAGAGGAGAAGACTGAGGCCCAGAGAGGGCAAATCAGGACTCAGAGCCGGTGGAACCTGAGGGCCCCCTCTGCAGCCCGGCTCCTCTTCTGCTGCCCGGGGCTCCTGGCTTTTCTCCATGGGGGGTGTCATGAGGTGAGGTCCCACATTCATCCTTACCTTGGGCCTCACTTTTCCTGATTGCAGGATGCAGGGAGCCAAGTGACCAGGGTGGTGATTTCCGTTGATGCCTTTGGGGGACTGTGTGTTCAGGGACCCCCACTCACTCCACCCCATCCCAATGCCCCCACACACACCATATTTCTAGATCAGGTTATTTGGGGTCCAGAGAAGCTGTGTGATCGTGACTGATGGATACTTAGGGCCTAGCCTGATGTTCATCAGGTGTGTGTGTGTGTGTGTGTGTGTGTGTGTGTGTGTGTGTGTGTGTGTTTGAGGGGGGTTGTTGGCAAACTGGAAAGTGCTCACAGGACTGTTAGCCAGCAAGGTTAGGGGACAGTTTGCCACCCTCCCATGGCTCATCCCAACAGCAGAGAGAGAGGCAGGGGAGGGAGAGAGAGAAGTGATGATGACAAGTGCGGAAGCCACCATTTCCCCGGGGGTAGGGGGTGGGGGGGGGGTCCCACTGACCCAAAGCAAATTGGGCCTTTCGGGTGTCAGTGTAGAGTGATGTCTGGGAGCGGCCCGCCTGGGTCTTTGGAACAGGGCCTGCCTGCCTCTGGGAAAGAGGAGGAGGGTGGGAAAGTGGGCCTGTCCCTAGGGAGGAGGGGGGCGGACTCGTGCCTGGGAAGAGAGGAAGGGAGGGGACAAGAGCTTGGGCTCTTGGGCTCGGTCCTGCCTGCCACCCCTCTACCCCCCCCCCCCCCCCCCCGCTTCCCGGGAGCCCACCATGGACAAGGCCTGGAGCACAGGACGCTGGGGCTGTCTGCAGTGAACTTCCTGAACTTCCTGGCAGAGGCAGCCCAGGGAGCTCAGGGAAGGTGTGTGGGAGCACCTCTCGTCCCTCCTGATTCCTAGGGCTGGAGAAGTTTTCCTCCGTTGTCTGAATAAGTACCCGGGCCTCTGACGGAATCCCGCACCCTCCTCTCGCTGGGGAAGAGACATGCCCAGGGCCTGCTTTTGAGGCTCCTGGGAGTTCCAGGGAACAACTGAGTTTGGGAGGCGAGGGCAGGGGGCCAGGGTTCAAAGGCAAAGGAGGAAATCCATGCTGCAGACAGCTGGCCACAGAACTCAGGGCCTTCTGGGAACTGGCCCAGGTCTGGTATGTCCAGCCGCTCTGGGGCGGGTGGATCTCTGACCACTGCAGAGTAGAAGCCCAGTGGGTGGCAGCAAGTGGGAAGGGGCTGGCAGCCGGGTCTTGGCACCCTGGGGGAGGAGGAGTTACTGTCTTGGAGAAGGGAAAGATGCGTTTGGGGGTTGGGACAAGGGACGCGGACACTGACTTGGTTCCCAAGGGTGTTGGGGGAGACTGCGTAGCCTTGTTCAGTGGAGGCCCTCAGGTGACACTGGGACCTTGCGAGAGGGGAGAGTGCGGGCAGGTAGGGGTGTGTGAGGGGCTCAGGCAAAGCTGACACTGGGCGGGAGGTCACGCCCCTCGGGGAGGTGGACAGAGAGGGCCTGGCTTTCTCATCTGGGTGGCCTCCTAGATTTGGAGCTCAGGTTGCACCTGCAGGGCGGGCTCTGTGGTACCTGGGACAGGCTGTCACCTGGTAGGTGCACGGGCATTACGTGTAGAATGGAAGCGTGAAAGAACCATGTGAAGAAGGAGCGAAGGAGTGTTTGGGGCCCAGAGATGCTCAGGGGGCTGGGGACCGGAGCCCAAGGTGGAGGTTGGATTTTGATTCCTTCCCCCCCCCCACCCCGACCTTTGGAATAGCCCCTGAGTACCACCAAGTGTTACCCCCTCACACACACACACAAAAAACGATTGTACAGCAGATGGTTGGGGCGGGGCGGGTCACCTGGGGTGCAAAGGTGAGCTCGGCACCTTCGGCGGAGGTCTTTGGAGACCTTATTGTGGGCCACCCCCGTCTCCCCAGGACCTCTCATCAGTAGGACCCTAGATTCCCCGCGGCGCTGTCCCCTGCCCAGCCCGAGGTCCCGGCCAGTGCGCGGAGGGACAGACAGTTCCCAGACCACCCCCACCTTCCCCCGAGTCCCAGGGTGGGCTACCCACCTCCAGGAAGCAGCGGCACAGCCAAAGCGTTTAGGGCCCCGGCTCCCCTCCCCCGCCCGGCGGCGCACAGGGTCGCGGGGGATGTTCGCCGAGCCACCGCCGCCCCCCACCGCTTGGGGGAGGAGCCACGAGCCCCCGGAGGTGTCCCGGGGGGCTGGGAGGCCCACTGAGGCTGAGTCACCCCTTCTGAGTCAGGGATCTTGCCGGGCCCGGCCCCGCGGGGCGGCGTGCGCCCACATGGGGGCAGCGGAGGCGGCCGCGCTGCCCTCCGCCCAGGCCCCTGGCCGCCGCGCGGCGCGGGAGCGCGGGGGGCGGGGCGGGCGCCAGGCCCGGGGCTGTGGGCACGGTGCCCAGCCCCCGGCGCACGCCGAGCCGCCGCCGCCGCCGCCGCCGCTGCAGTCGGCATCCATCAGCGGGCGGGGGTGTCGCCAGCAGCCGCTCCGCAGCGCCCGCCGCCCGCCGCGGCCCGTGGCGCCCCTCACCCCGCCCGCAGAGATGGGGACCCTCAGGCCCAGGTAGGCAGGGGCCGGGCGGGGGCGCGGGCGCGGGCGGGCGGGGGGATCAGGTGGCTCCGCCGGGCCCAGGTTCCGAGGTTCCGACCCGGCGGGCGGCGCGCGCGCGGGAGGGGCAGGGTGTGTGTGTTAGGGGGTCCCGGAGGCTTCTCTGCCCCCTCCCTGCTCTGCAGTCTCCTCCAGGCCTGGCGAGCGAGCCAGTGGCCAAGGGTGGTGCTTGTCGTGGGGCTGATGGGGTGCTGGGCTCTGTTCTGCAGACCACCAGACCCAGGGCTCCGCCGCCGGTGGGGTACGGGTGGGGGCGCTTCAGGCCCCAGCGGGCAGGCAGAGGGGGGCTGCCGGGGATCCCCCGCTCCCATCCATAGACCTTTTCCCACTCAAGGCTCTGATCCCAGTCCACCCACTTCTGAGTCTCCGCGCGCTGTGGATGGACTTGTGCCGGGCAGGGGACTGTGGATCCCCCGTTGTGTCTGGGGCCTTCACCCTGAGGTCAGCCAAGCCTTGGATGGGGGAGTCAGGGGAAAACCAAGCGTCCGCCGCCCCCAGGGTGTGTCCCAGGTGCTGAGGCAGCACTCGGACCCCGGGTGAGCCAAGAGCACCTTGAGGGGCGGACAGGGCTGAGGAAGGCGTTTCGGAGGCCACGGCTCAGCGGCCCCTCGCCCCCAGCTCCAAGGATGCGCGGGTTGGGGAGCAGGCTCTGCCACGTGCCCAGCCTTCACTCTGGGTCCGCATCTCACCTCCTCTGCATCCCTCCCAGCCCGGGGTGGGAGCCTGAGAGGGCTGGATTTAGGTCCTCCCCCGGGGCCCTGCCAGCCCCAAGAAGGCTCCCTCTCTCCCACTTACTTCCCAGCCTGGGAGTGTCCGAGTCAGCAGCCGCGGGGCCAGGCGAGAGCTGGGGACAGGGATAGTGCCCCCACTGAGATCCTGGGGAGCGCCCCGTCCTGGGCCGTAGCAGGGAGAATAGAGGCCCAGCCGTTCCTCCAGATGGAGCCTGCAGCAGAGACAGCCTGTGCCAGCCTCCTCTGGAGTGGCCGACTTGGGGTGGCTCTGGCTCTGCCCTGCCAGCCTGGAGCTGGCTTCAGTGTTCCGGGCTCACAGAATGCCCAGCAACCTTGACGGAGTGTGGGGAGGGGTGGGAGGGGGGGAAAGGACCTGACGATGGTGGTGACATTGCTTCTATGAAAACTGTTTTGGGGTGCCGGGGGGTGCAGCAGTGAAGCGCTTGCTCGTGTGAGACCCTGGGTTCTGTCGCCAACACCACAAGAAAAAAAAAAGCTGCTGGGCTCCATGGCAGTGCTGGGCCCAGCCCTGTGCGCTTCGTGGCCTGTTACTTCCAGAACTGCCCCCCCGCCCCCCCCCCCCCCCAGTCCTCCCCATTGGTCGAACGCTGATGAGCTACTGAAGGTTGAACGAGGCCTCAGAAGCAGTGTGGCTTGTCCAGCCACGGCCACATAGCGGCCGAGTGGGAGAGACTTCCAAGTGCCAGGCTTCCACTCTCGGGCTGGGGCTCTCGCAGCTCAAATGCCAGCTTTTCTCTTTTTCTTCTCATTCTTTCTCCTTCTTTCCTTTCTTCTTCTCCTTTCTTCTCCCCCCCACCCCCCGCCCACCAGCAGGGGCCCATACCCAGGTGCTCAGTGCTTACTCCTGGCTCTGTGCTCAAAGATCACTGGGTGGAGCCCAGGTCAGCGGTGTGCAAGGCCAGCGCCCTACCCGCTGTACTATTGCTGCAGCTGCTTCCTTCTTTCCTTAACCACATCCAGTAGCGCTGAGGGATCACTCCCGCACATTGCTCGGGGGACCACGAGGTACCAGGGATCAAACCCAGGGTTCCTGTACGTAAAACCCGGGCACTCGCCCTTTGAGTCTTCTCCCTGGGCCCTGCTTCCGTTTGGCCATGTCCATCTCTTGCGCAGAACTCCGACAGGGCCAGGGCATTAGAGGCCGGAGGCCTTGGCTACCGCTTCACAGGGGTCTTACATTGTCTCCCAGCCCTTTCTCCCGAAAGATGCAGAGAAGAGGCGGAGCTGCCTCGCGCGTCACAGCAGGCCTGAGTAGCAGGCACCAATAGCTTCACACCCGTGAGATGCACGGTGAGGGACGCTCGGGAGAGTTACGGGGCGAGCAGTGGGAGGGTCTGCTGCAGCGTGGGGCCCACCGGGGACCTCTGTGGGCTTCAGTGTCCCCGTCTATGGGAAGCGGCTGCTGCTTGCTGTCTGGATTCACACCCACAATGACCCAAGAGTCATATCCGTGTTTGCTGGCGCTGTCTCCTGTTTGCTGCCATGTCTTCCAAAAGTGCGAGTCTGGCTCCTTTTCCCAGTGGAGAAACTGAGGTGGAGCCTCTCTGAGGCTCTGAGAGATGGTGTAACAGCCGGAAAGTGTGAGTTCTGTCCTCTCCCTGCCCTAGGGTTACCGCTGGACAGCTTCTGGGGTGACCCAGCCAGGGGTGCTTGGAGCAGATGCATATCTGGCGGGGTAGACAGGGCTGTGCGCTGCCCCCTGACCCATTTAGTGAGACCTTGACAACCAGAAAACATGGATGAGCGTACAGGGTCACTAACCAGGACTGTGAGGGAAGGAAGGCCCGAAGTCAGGCGACGGGCGGGACGGGGTGGGGGTGGGAGCAGGCTGGCACCCCTTCCTCTGTGGGCAGTAGGCTTGTGGATAAGAATAGCTCCCGTGGGGACTAGGGATGTGGTGCAGTGAGGTAAAGCTATTGCTTTGCATGCAGGAGACCTGGGTTCGATCTCTAGCACTGCAGGGAAAGAAAACAGTTCACAGGATTTGTGGTGGTCTGCATTTAATAAGCATCTACTACATGCAGTCCCTGTTTTAAGGACCTATAAGTACAACTCATCCAGGCTCTACAAAACCCTGTGTGGGCACTGTTCTTCCCAACTTAACGATGGGGAAACCAAGGCCCAGCCCCGGAAAGAGCTGTTGCCCAGGGTCCCACTGTCCGGTCCCAGGGGAGGCAGGACTCAGGGCTGGGCCCTGGGGTGGGGGTGGGGGGCCCAGTTTCTTCCTATGGGTGTTCAGTTTGCAACACAGTTGCCGAGTACCTCCTGCCCACCCACTCTGTGTTGTGGGGGCTTGCATGCCTGCTTCACAGAGCTCTGGCCAGCGGGATAGAGGAAGCTGAGGAGTTGGGTGCAGGCCCAGTCTGGGTTCCTGCCTGGACCGTTGGGTCCAGATAGCTATTAGGCGCGCTGGGTCTTCATGCTGTGCACCCACGGCCAAGGACAGTTGTCCTTGTCCCCAAGTCAGTTGTCATGGGGAGAGAGACCTCCACCCTCCAGGTCAGAGGATGTAGGTTTGCCTTTGGTTGTTGTTGTTGTTGTTGTTTTTGATTTATAAATACTTTTAAAAAATTGAATCACAGTTTCATACATAGTTACAAAGGTATTCATGATTGGGTGTCAGTCATACAGTATTCCAACACCGGCCCCTTCAGGAGGTTTTCCTCTGAAAGAATGTGGGTGGTCTGTTGTGCACCGAGCAGATAGGTGTGGGGGGACACCGTGCTGGGGTGGGGGAGCTGGGAGGTGACTCAGAAAGTCACTTTGCATTTGGGTCTTCTGTGAGGTTGTGAGATCCGCCCGAGTGAATCTGCGGGAGCTGGACCGAGACCCACAAACTCCAGCCACCAGTTCCTGATGGGTGCTCTAGCACGCGGCCTCCTTGTGCCTCAGTGTCCTCTCGGTTGTGATACCCCTTGCTCATGGAGGCCAGGTCACAGGTGTTGGAGGAAGAGCCCAGTGCGGTGCGGGACCCCAGCTGGGTGCTCAGGGCTGGCTCCTGGCAGTGCTCAGGGAACCAAATGGTGCCAGGATTGAACTGGGGTCAGCCATGGGCGAGGCAAGCTCCCCCTTTCTTCCTTCCTTTGCTTAAATGGTGTTCCCACTCATCAGGAGACGGACTGCTTTGGGCACTTTTGTGGGCATTCAGTCTGCGCGGGACACGTGTTAGGCTGCTACAGAGATGGAACCTTTGGTAACTGTAAGAATCCCAGAAGAGCAGGGAGGGTGGCCCTGAGGGAGAAAATGAGACTCAGGGACTTGGGAGACTGGGAGGGGTGGACCTCACCAGGATGCTGTGGAGAGCTCAGCAGATGGGCAGGGAACTGCCCGGGTTCCCGAGGACCCCGATTGGTCATGGTTGAGTTGGAGGCCTCGTGAGTTGAGGATGAGGGGCCTCCCCCAACTCTAGTCACTCTGAGGTGGTGCGGCCACTTCTTTGTACATCTGGCTTCCCTCTACCCCCCGCCCTGAATAATTTCCTTTTGATGACTCCCCATCAGAGCTTCCTCTATAATAGCGGCAAATTGGGACTAAGTGCCCGACAATAGGAAGATGATTGAGAGCGCTTTTGAACATCCAGTGGATAAAATAATGTGCAACCATGAACAGACACCGAAATACTTACCCTCGCTGCATTTGGTGCCAGGCACCCGCCAACGTCCTTTGCATCTTACAGTCATTTCATTTCGTGGTGACCCGGGAACAGTGATGTGGTGGGTCAGATTCTTCCTGTGCAGGAAGAGCTTCCTGATCTCCTTGAAGGCAGAGTACCTCGTCCTTGCTCTTGTTCTGCCCTCAGCAGGGTGCTCTGTGATTTGCAGGAGCTTGTCTGGAGAGGGAATTGAGTGAGAGCAGAACAGAAGGGAAGCGATGGTTGTAACCCTAGGCAACCTCCTCCCCTCCACATTCCTCTGACCACTCAAAGTATGTGAGGGTTTGGGGGGTTTGCAGAAGCTCCCTGTGAGAACTTGGGGTACTCCGAGACCCGAGCTGGTGTCAGTTCTGTCCTTGCTGTGAAGCCTCCACAGATTAATTCATCTCCACCCCTCCACCCCCTCTCTCTCCCTTTTGTGGTGGTGGTTGCAGGGTGGGGGTGAATGAGTCACACGAAGTTGGTTGTGTGGTTATGGTGCTCTCGTGGTTTGGAGCAGGAGGGGTGGTGCGTTCTGGAGGTTGTGCACTTTTGGTGCTTGCTAGCTCATG